GCTGACCGCCCTGGCGCCAGGAAGAGGGTGTCTCGATGCGGCACATCCAGAAAGGCTGTCGCGCCAGGCGCGTGTGGATGGCGGGAGCCGAGTGGGTGCGGCCCTGACAGCCCTCAGATCATCGCCGTGACCGTCCGCAGCCACCGCATCGGCCTGGGCTCCCTCATCCAGCAGCTCGACACGCAGGGAGAGGGCGTCATCTCGCGCACCGACTTCGTGACCCTCCTGGGGTCGCTCCCCTGCACCCTTTCCGCCACGCACATGGCCGGCCTCGCGTGCGTCTTCTCCTCACCGAATGCGCCAGGGTGGATCCTCTGCGGCCCCTTCATTCGCGAGGCGCGGCGTGTCAGCGGGGCCGGCCGGAGGGCGAGTTGATGGTCCTCGACGAGGAGGACGAGGCTAACGCCACGGGCATCCAGAAGCTCAGCAGGTACCGCAGGAAGGTGCAGAAGGACCGAGACCAAAGGCGGGTCATCAAACCGGCACTGGCCAGCGTCAAGGGCAGCCGCGACACGGTCATCGAGGACGTCTTCTGGGACATTGATTCCAACCAGGACGGCTTCATCGAGCGGCGCGACTTCGAGAAGTACTTTGTGCTGCGCAAGGTGGGGTGGACGGCGGGCGAGATGGCCGCCATGTGGCAGTTCCTTGTCGACTTCACACAGCCGCCGGCCGTCCACCAGGCGGCAGCATATCCCAGCGACACCCAGGGGGGCGGCGCCGGCGCACGAGTAGACTTCGAGGCCTTCAAAGAGGCTATGCTGGTGAGTGAGCAAGTGACCATCCATCTCGCCAGACAGGCAGAGTGTCATCAGTGTGTGTCTTGTGTGTGTGTGTGTGTGTGTGTGTTTAGTATGTCGACCCGTCAGAGGCGCTTCAGCCGAGTTGTGAGTTGGTTGAGGAGAACGAGGCCCTCAAGAGGGAGGTCGACACCTACCCCGCATACACCGAGGCAGAGGGGGTATCCTGGACCTCTCCGGGAGCCGGGAGGGTCTGTCGACGATTGAGGCGCTGCAGCAGTCGTCATCAAGTCACATGAGCGGTGACAAGCGCGGTGAGGATCATGACGGCGACGATGAGGAGGACAACGTGACATCGGACCGATACCGATCTCGAGGCAGCGACTCGCCGTCTGCGTCGGCACAGACGCCCCGGTCGGCCTCTGTGGGGTCAGAGCGGATGTGGGGGCTGACTGAGGGGAGCATGGCGACAGAGATGGGGACGCAATATCTTCGCTGCCTGGGGGCATCTTCCTTTCCTTCGCAAGTGAGTGGGAAGGGGCAGTCGAGATCAGTGATGGCTGACAAACGCACGGGTGCTTCCATGTCATGTGTGTGGATTTCAGGGACGCCGATGCTGACGGCATGCGCATTCGGGGTGAGCACACCACCGCATCAGTGGCTGAGCGGAGGCGCCCCAGGGTGAAGGCAAGAAGGGCATGGTGACCATCAGCCTCTCCGAGTTCCACAGACACTTGCAGAGCCACCCTGCCCCTCTAATCCCACCTCGGTACGTGGATAGGTGGCCAGTTTTTATGTGTGTGTGCCGTCTGCAAATGCCCTCCTTGATCCTTTTCGGTGTCTGGCAGGGCAGTGTGTTACCTGGTTCATCCCCTACTCGGCCATCGCGGGCCAATGAATGACATTCGGTGAGTGGGGGGAGATAGATGGATGGATGGCGACCTGCGCACTGCTCACGTCTGTCATGATCCATTCGTCTGCCTGTTTTCTGTCTGTCAGTTGAGGTGCCGTCTGAGGTGCTTCTGCAGATCTTATACCTACTCGTCCAGAAAGGTGAGTCTGGGAGGGAGGGAGGGAGGGAGGGAGAGGTGGGCTCTCTTCATTGTGTGTGTGTGTGTGTGTGTTGTCTTGTGCAGGTTTGATACAGCTGCAGTCGGTGCGTCTACTGATGATGTCGGCCGAGATCGTCGGTGCCCTTCCAAGGCCCCCACAGCTCAGGAACAGCAGCAGGAGGTGCGCAAGCAGATGTGCGACTTCCACGTCTGCCAGCTGAAGCTCCAGAGCTTCCTAGCCGGCCGCAAACGCCGCCCCAGATTCATCATGACCTCTTACACGGTGACCTGCCCACGGACCACTACAGCGTCACGGCGCACCACGAGCGGGAAGTCGACAGCGACAGCAGCGTATGTCGTCGTGGGGGCGGGCCGGGAGGAGACCGTCATATGGCCTGCATGGTGCCGATGGTGGTGCCTCAGGGGGCCGCTCAGGGGTGGGGCTGTCTTGTGGACAACAAGCGCAAGGGCGGGCGGGGCAAGAGCAAGCGCAAGACCTTGATGAGTGCGGCTGCTACTGCTGACTCGTCGTCCTACACGCCGTCGCCTCCATTCTTCAGGACGGCCAGCCAGGACACCCACGAGACGAGCTCCCCGATCACCACAGACCGCGAGACGTCCGAGCAGGATCACCATGACGGCCGCCACATGCACCACACGCACGTGCACATACCGCACCACCCCCACCTACACCACGGCCACCACAACCGCAGCACCGAGGCCGACCACGGCACCGGCAGCAGCGATGACCATGACAGCGGCGAAGGGTCATGTGGCAGCCAGACCCACACTAACGCGTCCACCCATAGCGGTCATGGCACACAGCCCCTCGTGCGGTGCGACAGCCTCACCTTCAGCGACACTCCCGCCGGCCACGATGCCTCCTCGTTAATGCGCAGCAGGGGCGCCCCAATGTGACGGGTGTGGTGGATGACTCACTCGGTCATGAGCGATTGGATGTATTTTTGTGAGTGGATGGGTCGCTTTGTGAAAGGGAACGTTGTTGCTTCCATTTCTGGCTGCGTGGCTGCGTGTGGATGAGTGTCGGTCTCCCTCTCTCTTTCTTCGTTCGTTTCGCTGTAGTGGCTGACTGTCTGGCCTCCCCACGGGCGCGTGTGTGGCTGGCACCACGTGGGGGCGGGACCTGATATCCTGATATCCCGACCCCCCGCGTGTGTGTCGTCGCCGCGTGAACGTGGCGGTGTGCCGGCCAGCCACCAACACCACTTGTGTTTTTCAGTCGCGTGTCGCTTCTGTTTTTTTGTCGTCCATCGATCGGTGCCTGTATTGTTTTTATTTTTGTCGGCCCCGCTCCGCCTAACTGGCTGTCGTCTTCGTTTCGCTGCGCACAGTGGCTCGCTGGCTGGCCTTCTCATAAGCAGTGTGTGGCGGTCACTGCGTGGGGGCGGGACCTTATATCCCGACACCTCCACGTGGGTGGCCACACTGCTGCAAGATCATGGGAATGTGACAGTCAGCCGGGCCAACACCACCACCCGTTCGCATCTGGGTTCATTTATCGGAGGGGAGGGAACTCATGGAAGGGCTGGCCGTTTCTCTCGTCATGTCTGTTTCCACCGTCACGACGTTGCCTACATTCTGGTCGGATGTGTATTCGTGCGGTGACGACTGACTCACTTTGTGTGCCTGACTTGGTGCAAAGATATTTGTGAGCCCGGGCGATGCAGCGCAGCGCCATCTTTTGTGCCCACCCCGTCCCGCCACCGTCCCCGCCACCCTCCTCCCTCCCTCCCTCCCTCCCTCCCTCTCCTGCGTCACCGCCGAGATGGCTGATGGGTCCATTCGGCCTGCTTACAGGATGGCTATGGATCACTGATGAATGCTTTCGTGTTGACACATGTACGTTCCTTAATACTTCCATCCATAGTGACTTTCGTCGTCCATCAAATGTGCATTCCACTCACTCAGTCAGTCACCTGAGCTGATTGCTGCACTCGTAGACGGGCAGATGACTTGGCTGCATTAGGCTGTGTGTGTGCGTCGCGCTGGTGGCGTGGTGTGTGTGTGTGTGTGTCGATTTGAGGCTCCCGGTTTATGTCTGAGTATCCCGAGAGAATGGGCTGCTCGCGCTGAGCAGCGCACTGACCTGCCCCTCTCTCTCCCTCCCCCTCTGCTTCGCTTCCATTTTGCGCCGCCAGCACCTCATAGGCACACACACTGCCAGCCGCTTCCCCTGTGTGTGTGTGGCAGCTCTCTCTTGTCGGTCTGCCCTTTGGGGGTTTCGTCTTTATTCTGTGGGGTCGGCCGCACACTGTGACTTAGCTGATCGGTCCTCTCCCTGCTCACATTGCCGTCACCGCTCATCCGAGCGCTCGTCAGGTAATCACACACACACACACACACGCACACAGTGTGTCTGTTTCTGATTGACTCCCTGACGGCTGTGTGTGGACGTGTGTGTCATTGCTGCAGTCGCTCAGCCGTCAATGTCATAGTCCCTCCCGCACATCGATCCTCTCGTCCGTCTGCCACGAGGTCTGTCGGGGCCGCACACACAAACACACACACACAAAGGAGCGACCACTTGTGTGTGTGGTGGTGGTGTGCCTCTGTTGTGTGTGGGGCGTCAGGTCCGTTGCCCGATGGTCAGATCGGCCGACATCCTGCCAGCTTAGTGTCTTCTCTGAGCCCATCGTCTGTGAAGGGTAACGACATCCACACCAGCACTGACAGCCGCAGACACCGCCCACATCAACACGACTATGTCTGTGTCGCTGCAGCTGACACACTCCGTCTGTCCTCCCGACTCGGAGAGAGCCCCTCCGCTGCAGGTGCTGGTGCTGCCGAGGGCTGCACTTGTGAGTCGAACATATCCCTCCCAACGAGCACCTGCCGGCCTCTCCTTAACCACGATAAGGTGACGAGTGACACTCGCAGCCATGAGAAGACGTCCCACTCTGTGTGTGGTGTCTGTCATTCAGTGCGGATGTCTGTCTGTCTGTGTCTGTCTGTCTGGGTGGGCACCGCCATTGCTCGTGGGGCCGCACAGGCCAGCCGACCACTCGAGCCGGCCGTCATCAAGTTGCTGCTGAGGGCGGCGAGCGACAGAGAGACGACTGGTCGTCATGTTGATGGAGTGCGGACGCCCCGCACTGCTGCTAAAGCAAATGACAAACGGGGCTATGGCGGGTGGTGGATCTCTGTGTGGGCGTGTCGGATGGGCCAGTCGATGGGGTGGCGCTGTGTGTCGATCTTGACATCTCTGTGTCTCTCTCTCTCGGCAATATGACAGTCAGGCGGGCAATGCGGTGAGGGATGGGTGTGTGTCGGCAGTGTGCCGCTGGCCATTCTGGTCTGGCCAGGTCTCTCTCTCTGTCGAGAGGAATTCTGAGACATAAGGCCGGCTCTTCTCCACTCGACCAGACAGGTGCGCTTGTTCGGTGTGACTGCGTGTGTGAGTGTGATTGCCTTCCTTCGTTCTGCGCGTGGGGGTGTGTGTTCTTGTGATGACAAAGATGGTGACGCACCCCTGTGTGGTTTCATGTGTTAACGCATCAGTCAGTCTCTCTCGCAGTGTCCCACGAGAAAATCGCTATGTCCCCAGCCCACTGACCCCCTCACACACCGACCACCCCCAGTCGACCACATCAGCCCGGCCACACCTCACCAGCACTCAGCCCGACACCCAACCCCATTGAGCATTGACGCAGAGACAGAGAGAGAGAGTCAGTGAGATGTGTCGCCTCAGACACTGCAAAACGACTGTCTCACTCTTTGTCTCTCTCTCTCTGTCTCCCTCCCTCCCTCTCTGTGTGGCTGACTGACTGATAAATTACTCGCAAGATGACTCCCATGTAAGTGACCGACCAAGAGATCTGTGGGTGTGGGCGTGTGGTTGGCCCCGCCATAACCCCCCCACACGACCCGCTCTACCACACAGCGCCTCCGTCTCATTCACTATATATCATTCACCAACCCCACGCCATAACAGACACACGCAGAGAGAGAGAGAGAGTCAGTGAGATGTGCTGCTTCTCACACTAAAAGACACCACAGTAAACCCTCCCTCCCTCTCTGTGTGTCTACGTGGCTGATGAATTACTCGTGCGATAACTCTCACGTGTGTGTGTGTGTGCATCGCTCCTCCTCCCTCCCTCCCCGGACAGCCCCACCCCATCGGCTGGCCAATACAGCCGACTTTGCATACAGCACAGCACACATGAGTGTGGCACCATCCATCCAGCCATCCAGCCAGCCACCCATCTGCTATGCCCATTTGAGCTCACACACATCAACCAGAGCTCAAATGGCGTCGCAACAGAGCTGAGATCATTGATGTGTTGACGCATCAGTCAGTCACTCTCGCAGTGTCCCATTAATTACCACCCCAGCCCACTGACCCCACACTCAATGGCCGGCGCTCACACACACGTCAATCGGGGCAGAGCGGAGAAGAGAGAAAGAGAACGAGAAAGTCGCACACGCAGCTGTCAGTCGAAGAGCGAGACATCCAACCACATACATACAAAGGGTCAGTTGGCCCCTCCCTCCCTCCGCCTGTCTATCAGCCAGACACCCAACCATATTCAGCATTCACACACACGCAGAGAGAGAGAGAGAGAGTGTCAGTGAGACGCGTTGCCTCACACAGTAAGACAGCAGCATGAACCCTCCCCTCTCCCTCTCCGGCTGTGGTGGCTTACATGAATACTGCAAACCTGCGCCTCTCTGTGGACCTCACGCACGCACCCCGACAGACAGACAGACAGACAGACAAACAGGTCAAGTGTGCATGTGTGTGGCTGCTGGTGAATGGCTTGCCACAGTGAACCCACACACGCACAGCGTCTCATTCACTGTCATGCACCCATCGGCCACACACACACACACACACACGCTGGCAGGGAGAGAGAGAGGGAGAGAGTCCGTGAGGTGTGCTGCCTCTCACGTAAAAACACCACGGTGGATCCCCCCGTCAACAAGTCCCATGTCTGTGTGTGGCGGTCTGTGTGTCGTCTTGGCAGACAAACGGGACGCACCCCTGTGTGGCTTCATGTCTTGACGCACCAGTCAGTCAGTCACTCTCGCAGTGTCCCACGAGAAAAATGCTATGCCCACCCCACTGACCCCACTCGCACTTGCCGGCGCTCACACACGTCAATCGGACAGAGCGGAGAAAGAGGCAAAGAGACAGACAGACACACACGCGCAGCCGTAAGTCACAGAGCTAGACACCCAGCCACACATACAGAGGGTCTCACATGCATGGCGTCAGCTCAAACGCATCTCACCCACCACCCTGATCGCCCCCATTCGACCACATGCCTCACACACAAAGACACACACACACACACAAAACAGCACGAAGTGTGTGTTGTCTTGACAGACGAAGGTGACTCATCCATGCGTGTGTTGATGTGTTGACGCATCGATCAGTCACTCTCGCAGTGTCCCGTGAATTGCCGTACCATGTACCCCCCACCCCACTGACCCCACTCGCACTTGCCGGCGCTCTCTCACATCAATCGGGGCAGAGCGGAGAAAGAGGCAAAGAGAAAGACAGACACACACAACACACGCGCAGCCGTCAGTCGAAGAGCGAGACATCCAACCACATGAAAGGTCACTTCGACCCTCCCTCCCTCCCTGCACCTGTCTAATAGACGGACACCCCATCGCATAATCACACGCGCAGCCGTAAGTCAGAGAGCTGGACACCCAGCCACACACAAAGGTCACATTGCTGGTGACACATCAACACACACTCAGTGAGACGCGTTGCCTCACACAGTAAGACAGCAGCATGAACCCCCCCTCCCTCTCCGGCTGTGGTGGCTTACATGTATAACGCATCGAATCGTCCACCTCTCTGTGGCCCTCACGCACGCACCCCGACAGACAGACAGACAGACAGACAGAGAGGGGGGCGTGTGGGTGTGGGTGGCAGGCGTCATGTCGTCTCACACACGACCCACCACACACACGCCTCTCCCCAAGGTTGACAGTCACGTCCTCTGTGTGGAGAGGCGCATGTGTGTGTGTCGTGTGTGTACGCTGCCCGACACACACTGCTCTCTCTCTCCCACACACACACAAAGCGGTGCTGCCCGACGGCCTGCCTGCCCCAATCAGACGTGTGGCTGATGAATCACTTAGCTGCTCTGCACAGAATGGCGCTAACACCCTATCAACCACACACACACACACACACACACAGAGAGAGAGAGAGAGGGAAGGTCAGACAGCGGCACACACCCCACCCCAGCCCATGAGGCGACTGCCCTTCGCTGTGCGCTTTGCCCCCTCACACCACAGAGCACACAGGTCACTCGACATCACGCAAACCAACACACACACACACACACACACAGCGAGAGAGAGTCTTCGTGAGACGCGGTGCCTTACACATTGGCGAACAGCAGCATGGACCCTTCCTGGCTGATGAATTACTACACCGGAAACTCGGGGCTCCTGCACACGTTGTCGATGCACCGCTGGCTGCGTTCAAAGCAGTCGGCAATCTCAGTGCAGGCACAGAAGCCGAGGTTGGGGTCGTCGGGAGTGCCCGCAGCGCCAGTGTCACACCGTCCTTCGTTGCGGCACTGATCATCATTCGCACAGTAGCAGAAGCCCTTCTCACACTGCTGGTCGCCACGGCAGTCGTCATCACTCACGCACTCCAGACAAATGCCGGCCGGACAGAAGTCACCAGGCCTGGCGGTAGCCTGTCGGCCGCAGCACTCGTGTTCGAATTCGCACGGTGCCCCGCCGGGCTTGCAGCCTGATGACACACAACAGACACGGCACATATCAGTCATGCCTGTCAGTACACCGAAACTCTCTTTGGCTTTGCCTCACATCGATTGAAACCGCAGAAACCGGTGGTGGCCAGGCAGTTGTCATCACCGTCGCCGCAACCCGGGTCGCATGAGCCGCCTTCACACAGGCCCGAGCAGCAGTCGTTGGCATCAGTACAAGAGCCAGACCTCTTACAGCCTGCACACACAGACAGAAGGATATGGGTGCACACGAGTAGGCGTTTGTGTGAGATAACTCGCTTTGCTTTTGTTCGGCTCACATCTTCCACCAAAACAACGAACAGAGTCTCCGAATGAGTCGCATTCGCTGCGGAAATTGCACAAGGCATACTTGTCGCCGTCACAGAAATTCGTACAACACTGGCCGGCTTCGGTGCAGGTGGCGTCATCATTAGGCAGACAACCTGCACAAATGAACCAATGACAAGAGGACACACATGACCTGCCCACATCAACACACACACGTCGCTTTCTTGTGTTCACTCACATGATCCGAGAGAGCACGATGTGAAGCCTGGTCCCAAGCCGTTCGCAGGGCACTGGCCTTCTTCGCCCGAACACAAACCACAGGTGCCGTCGCTTCGACAGACTTCTCCATCGCTGCATTGGACATTCTCTATGCATTCGACACATTTGCCAGTGTCGACGTCACACAATGGAAGGGTGGTGCTGGGACAGTCCTCATTGCACGTACAGCCGCAGATGCCGTTGGTCGAACAGACTGGAAGCTCTTCGGGACACTCGCTGTCAGACGAGCATCCACACGTGCCGTCGGCAGAGCACACTGGACGGTCTTTGGGGCACTGGTTGCTGTCAGAATCGCACGCTCACAGACGCCGTTGTTGCAAAGACCGCAGCAGCCGTCCTTGCCAACGTCGGTGCTGCATAGAGCACCGTCAGCCGCGCACACACAAGTCTCGCCACCGCAGTTCCTCGAACAGCACTGGGCATTTCCGAATGGACATGGGTCGCCGACGGCCAGACACACAGAAGGCTCCTCCACACCTGACGGCAAGGGACGGAATGTTATTAGTGAAGGCGGGCGAAGGCGTTGTGTGTGTCTTTCGGCTTACATTGGTCGGCCACGCATATCTCTCCCTCACCACACTCGCCATCTCCCTCGCACGACGTCCCACTCGTACCGCATATGCCATTCGTGCACGAACGGGAGCAGCACTGATCGAACTGATGGCATTCGGCGCCATCTTCTCGACATCTGCGACCTGCATTAGTGGCCGCACACACAAAGGATCATTACCTGTCTGTGTGTGTGAACAAACGCATTGCGTGGCGCATACATTTGCCGCCCCCACAGAAGAAGCCATCTGGGCATTTGTCCTTCTTGGTGCAGCAACGCACGCATCGCTTTCTGTCATCGCAGTGAAATGTATTTTCGCAATCATCATCATCCTCGCATGAGTCCAGACCCTCTGAGGCACACGGCACACACACACACACACACACACACACACATGCCCACGTGAAGCACTTGCAAGTGTGCACGTCGGTGATTGCTCACCCTGCTCGAATTGGTTAGTCCGCTGCTTATTGCCGTCCTGGGGTGAGTCCGTGTCGTTGGCTGGGCGAGTTGTGTTGCTTTGAGCCTGCGTTGGCGTCTGCTCTTCGTCGCCGCTGTCCTGCTCAGGTGCAGCTGTCCCGTTGGTCGCCTGGCTCTCGTCGTCCTGCAGCGAACGTGTGAAGGGCCCGGCGGGCGGCTGCGGTACTTCACCCACAGGCAACAAAACTGCAAAGGGGAGGCAGACAGACAGACAGACAGGTGTGAGAGAGGCCTTTCCTTTCTGTCTTTGCCTGACGTGTGATGTGACGTGTGAGGGCGGTGCTCACCTGCCGGGGAGATGACGAGCAGCAGGAGGGCGGGGGACACCAGAGACGACCGCATCGAGACCTCCTTGATCAGCTCAGGGGATGGAGGGGAAGGGCGACTGAGGCCGACAAGAGGCAGGGGAAGCGTTGCTGAGCCCCACCCAGGCAAGATGGGGACGGGAAACCAAAAGATCTGGCACCGAAGGCCGCAGAGATCTCACACTCGTGACTCTCTCAAGCAAGAAGCAGCTCGTCCTTGCTTGTCTCGATGTCCTCTCCTTTGCAGGGCGAGCGACAGAGGAAAAGGATGAAGCCGAACAAAACCTCGCTCCCGCTGCCGCGTGCGATTGGGCCAAAACAATAATCGTTCGTAAAACAGTATACAAATTTAATTGGCGCCCGTCTACGAGTAGATGTATGCGACCCTACATTGGCCACGGCGATGGACGCAAAACAGTTGACAGAATGGCATTTCACACGTGTCAGCTTTGCATCAACATGCAGCATCCTCGGCAACACACGACAAAGAGCCTCATCATTATCGACACCACACACACACACACACACACACGCACACATACACACGCCGCCGCAACAAGGCCGGCCGGCCTCTGACTGAGACTTCATTGACCGAACAGACAGCTCGACGCTCAGCTTAAACACACCGCCGGACACACGGCTACAGGCAGGCAGCTTACTACTTGGAGGGCCCCACAAGCTTGTCGGCTTCTCTCTGGAAGGCGCGCCACAGCTCGTCGATGTCTTGAGCCTCACACTGGGGCGACCCGACGGCCACCTGCACCACACACACACACGGAGAGGCCACATGGGTCACATCACCCGCGCGGTGCGGCGAGAGAGGCGCTCTCTCACCCTGATGACGACTTGGTCGTCCACCTTGGTGCTCACGAGGAAGAACCCACAGCCATTCACACCGTCCAGCAACGCACACTGATAGCGGAACATTGCACACTCGCACTTCCCCAGCTCCTCTGCCCCCTTCTGCCGCTGACCTGTGCGTCGTTGGGCTGCCCCTTCAGCCGCAAACACACCAGGCCAAACAGCCGCGGCGTCGGCATGTCGAACCGGTCGTCGGCCGCCACCCATCGCTCGAACCGCTCGGCCAGCGCGAAGCTGCGCCTGACGTGTCGCTGCAGCCCCTCGGTGCCCATGAGCTTAAAGGCAAACCACAGCTTGAGAGCTCGGAATCGGCGGCCCAGTGGGACCTGCCACTTCCTGTAGTCGATGACCTGACCGCTCTCGGACGCCCTGAGGGATGGGCGAGAGGATTGCACCCACACAAAGGCAGCGAGGTGGGCTGTGGGTAAGGGTGGTTGGCCGACTTGTTTCTGAGGCATTCCTCTCCGACAGAGAAGAGGTCGATGAGCGCCGACCTCTCCTGGACGTACAGCGCAGAGAAATCAAACGATATCCTAACAGACACACACACAGACACACAGAGAGGGAGAGCTGAGTGTGCTGCCTGGCTGCCCCCTTGGTGTTGGTTTACATCATCATCTTGTGAGGATTGAAGTTGAACGAGTCCCACAGCTCGAGACCTTCAAGGCCAGCCAACAAACCACCCACCGAGGCAGACAAGGCCCGTGAGTGTGTGACTGTCTGTGTGTGGCGGAGGCAGGTACCTTTGAAGTGGTGTCGGCATTCGGCCACCAGTGCCGCCGTGCCGGCATAGGCGGCGTCCACATGCAGCCACACGGGCAGCCCGGCAAACTCACACCTCACCGACTCAGCCAACGACTGACAATGCGCCCGAGGCGACCGGGGTGGGTGTCTGACTGCATCGCTCAGTGTCTGTGTGTGGGTCAGTCACCTGTATTGGGTCGACGGCAGTGGTGGAGGTGGTGCCGATGGTGCCGCACACAAAGATCGGAATCAGACCTGACCACACACACATAAAAAGAGAGCGACCAGTGGATGAGCATCATGGCGTTGATACGCAGCCATTCTGTCTCGCGGGGATTGGTCACCGTCTTGAGTGTCCTTCCTCATCTGAGCGATCAGATCGGTCGGCTGCAGGGCATAGCTGTGCTCGCGCGACGTCTTGATGCTTCGCACTTGCACACCAGCACACTGAACGAACCACACATCAGCTTGTCTGTCTGTTTCCGAAGCGGTGTGCTGACCTTGGCCTCTTTGATGATGGACGAGTGGGCCTGGTCCGACGCATAGGCCACAAACTGGCGCGTGTCGGTCTCCCCCGTCTGCGCCACCGCCCTGTGCCGCGCCGCCATGATGACCACGAGCATCGAGTCGCTGGCCGTCTGCTGAATCACACCCCCGCCACTCCCAGACGACACAAACACACTCGGCAGATCGCACGCAGCCGCCTGATCCACCCAACACTCACACAGATATGTGTTTTTCCTCTCGGCTGATGGGAAGGTCTCTTCTCTCTCGCTGACAGACAGCCAGCCTGGCTGACCAGCCAGTCCATGACGACGGTCTCGAGCTCAGTGGCGGCTGGGGCGGCGGCCCACGAGAAGCCGATGGTGTTGAAGGCCATCGACAGCATGTCGCCCAACATGGCGGGGAACGATGACGAGGCGGGGAAGTAGCCGAAGAACCTCGGGTGCTGCCAGTGGGTGACGCCCGGTAATATCTTGGTGTCCACCTGCAACAGGGAGACCATGAGATGAGAGGGGCACACACACACACAGACAGACAGACAGAGAATCAGGCCGTACCTCTCTCATGAGGTCCTCGTAGCTGCAGGGCTGCTGAGGCGCGTGTTTGGGCTCCGTCTTGGTGAGGTAGCCCATCTCGACAGACGGCAGCACGGGATACTTGTGCCGGGCGAGATCTCGGTAGTACTCGGCGATGAAGTCCACCATCTGATGGCCACACCTGCACACACAGCGGCGACACAACGATCCATCCATTCATTCCATCCATCCATCCATCCATCCGAGAAGGTGTGTGTGGTGTGTGGTCACCTGCGGAACTCCTCCACTCTCGCCTCTGTGTCACTGTCGAGCGGCACGGCACTGTGACCGCTGTCCACGCCGTTCATCTTGTCAGTTTCTTTGCTGCCCATCGGAACACACTGACTCTGCTGATGTTCTTCCGTCTCGTCGTGTCCGCTGGGGATGGATGAAATGAATGCCCAGCTGATTGCCTTTCTAAGCTCGCAAATGCGCGCCGCCAGAAAAATCGTAAACAGAGCCGACAGATCTCCTGGTGATTCTCTGCTCTGCTGTTGTGGATATGGCGCTCGTTGCGGTTGTGGTCGCTGCCCTGATCTCTTGTGCGTCTGCGGGCGAGGCCTTCGTGCCGTCAGCAGGGTCCCTGCCTTCCCTCCGACGCACTGCAGCGGCGCCCAGGAGCGATGTCAGGATGCAGGCAGAGATGAGCCAGTCACTCCCATTCCTCATGAGGTCACAATGACACACACTGAGTGAGATCTTGTTCGTCTGGTGCTTCCATCGCTGGTGTGTTGCCTTCTCACTCACTGATCCATCCATCCATCCATCAGGCCGTCCAAGCTTGACAAGAGCATGGCGGGAGATGTCGGCTTCGGTGAGAAGATTGCCTTTTGCTATGACACTCACTGTGTGAACTGAGTGTGTGTGTGTTTGGTATGTCAGATCCGTTTCTGTTGTCCGACCAGCTGAACCTGGAGTGGATGCGGGCTGCTGAGCTCAAAAACGGCAGAGTCGCCATGCTCGCCGTCGTCGGATGGCTTGGTAGCTAAGACACACACGCAACAACACATCGACCGTCAACCACCTGCTGATCTGATCTCCCCCTCTCCGTCCGTTTGTGTGACACTGCAGTGACTGCCCTTGGCATCCATTTGCCCGGCCGTGACTTCGTGGGCTTCGAGGCCGTGAGCAAGAACCCTCTGGCGGTGCACCTGCAGATCATTGCCGCATGTGGAATGGTTGAGCTGGCCAACCTGGACAAGGACTTCGGGGGCAACTACGTCAACAACGAGATCGGCAACTACGGCTTCGACCCGCTCAACTTCAGCAAGGGCAAGAGCCAGGCGCAGATGGACGACCTGCGGCTGAAGGAGGTCAAGAACGGCCGACTCGCCATGATTGCCATCATTGGCCTGATGGTGCAGTCGCTGGTCTTCCCCGGCAAGTCGCCTTTCTCTCTCTGATGGGATGTGTCGGAGTTGGGCAAGTGGGCGGTGGGTGGGTTGGTGCATTTTGGCCGTATGAGATCTCTCTATTGCTATCTACGTGGCTGCATTTCGCTTGCCTTGGTAGTGTGGTTGGTGCCGTGTGTGTAGAGTATTCGTGTGTGTCGTGTGTGGGGGGTGAGCCGATCCAGGGCAGCAGACGAATCCATATGTGGATGCATTGCGTGACCACGCACCAGGCCAGATGGAGGGGAAAGACTTGATTGTCTCTAAATTTTTGGCAAGCGAGGCGCACGTTTCTTCATCCCATTCACTCTCTACCATGTCAGCTGTGACATCCAAGCAACCCATCAGACAAGTTTGGTTCTCCACTCCATTGGCAGACCACGCCATCGACCGTTCACTCACACACACAAACCACGCTATCGCCTAAGTGCATAGATTTTTACCTCTACCTCTTCTCCCGCACCTGACTGATCCACATGAACATGCCGGAAAAACTCGGTTGGTTGCACACCACATTGATTGCGATCATCGCCTCCCTCGCTATTGACACCACACACATACACACATATGACAGTCAGTCCCCCTCTCTCTGTACACAACCGGACGGCATTCCATTGCCCTTCGTCGAAGGCCCCTTGGTACGTGATATGGCGTCACTGTCACCTCCCGCCCTCTGTCGGCATGGGCATCTCCCATTCGTTGGCTTGCGGCAGGTTGATGCTCGAGACTGACGGTGCCTTCCGCCGGTGGCGCAACTCATACGCCCAGCGTCGGGGACCTCGCCTGACCACCACACCACACCGCACAGACAGAGTGTGGCATTGTCGCATGCTCTCTCTCTCTCTGTGTGTGTGTGTGTGTGAGGTGTTACCTGAAGGGGTCCTTTTCCCTGGCCTCCAGCAAGGTCTGCACGCCGCTCTCAACCTCACCACGCAGCTGACCACACCCACGGCAAGAAGGAAGCCAACAAATGAATGCATGATGAATGAATGAATGAATGAGTGCACTCAGTCAGATGACCACACCTCTTGTGTCTGTCTGGTTGGCTCACCTGCTCGTAGAGTGCCTGGCAACTCTCCTTGTCAGCCGCATCTACGCCCGTCAGGTCCATAGGTCGTCCGAAGAGGAGATAGGGCCGCTCGCCGCCCCCCGTCCGCAGCGACGGCAGGGGAATGGGCGGCACGAACGGCGGGAAATCAGACGCACGGGGAACTGAACAACAGGACGGTAGATGGAGGGACACACAAACATGGGACCATGGCTTTCATTATTTGGGCGTACATGCTTGTGCGCGTCGTTTGAGCCGCTCGCCGACGAAAGGCAGGTTGAGCACCTCGCGCTTGTCCAGCACGATGGTGAAGACGTCAGAACACCCCACAGCTGCAAAAACACGACGCGACAAACAAGACAAGACAAGACTGTTAACTGCACAAGGCCTGTTGACCTGAACGTGCTGTTGTCATTCACCTGAGAAGGGGATGATGGTGGCGTTGAACCGCGCCGCCATGCGCAGGAAATCTGCAGCGCGCGAAGGGGGGTGGGAGGAAGGATAACATCTCTGTCTGTCTGTCTGTCTTTGACAAGGGGTGCGTACCTTCCTGATCGTCCCATAAGAGCTGGTACTTCTGCGACCGCTCGTGAAAGGCCTGACGATAGACAGACAGAAGGGACGACAGAAAGGGCAACACATCCAACACGTGGCAGGCAGTATTCTTGCGTTCTGTCTGTCTCTGCATCCATCCTCATGTCATGCACACCTCTTTGAGGCCACCAGGGTACAGCAAAATGCACTCTGGGACACACAGACAGAGAGCCATCGATCCATCCATCCATCCACCAGTGTCGTCATTGAATGCATTGCGCCCTCCTGTGCTGTGCTGTGCTGTGCCCACCTTTCTGCTGCAGCAGGCGGTAGTAGGCGCGCTTGCTCACCTCCACAGCACCGAACCGCTTGTGGAAGTCTCCCACGTCGAATGACCGCCACAGCTTGCTGATGAGCGTGTAGTTGTCCTCGGGCAGCGGCCGGAACAGATCAATGGTCTGGGGCTGCCTGGTGGACGAGGACAGCGCGTCGTCGTTGTCACTGTAGCCATTGTAACCGTTCTTGTTGTTGCGGTGGTCGCCGAAGAGATAGTGCAGCGGCTGGAAGAAGAACGGATGCGCCAACGCACGCGGACAGATGCCCACCTCCTGAACAACGAATGCCACCAGAGAGAATACCGCTGGCCTGGCTCTTGTGTGTTAGTGTTATCCCTCTCCCCCTCCCTCCTTCCCTCCGCTCTGACCCGTAGGAATCGTGAAATGATGAGTGGGGCCTCGAACCCGAAGAGATTGTGGTTGCCCACGAGCAGCACAGGCCTGTCCAGGGGGATCTTCCGGAGAGACTGATTGTCCCACTCCTCCATCCGGGGGAAGAGGCTGCTCAGGCCCGTCCCCACCAGCTCCTCCTCTTCCTCAACCGTCATCCCCGCCTGGGCCGGGGCCTGCTCTGCGTTGTTGTCTTCGAATTGCCGATCTGCCTGCTCGTCTGGTGCTGAGAAGTCGCCCGGCATGCTTCTCATGAGCGCGTGCAGACCCCTGAGGGAAAGAAAGACGAAAAAATGGGTGTGTGGCTGTCAAACAGCTGCGTGTAGTTGCCTGACCGTTCTCTCCTGCCGTTGTGTGCGTTGGTGGAGAAGAACACAGGGGACAGCAGCCTCTCTGTCTCTGCGGCGATCCAGGGGATCAGAGGGGCCCGCTGCATCTCAGCCTACACACACAGGGAGTGACACATCTGCGGGATGTGGAAGCAACGACAATAGATAGGTGGTAGGGGGTCTCACCTCGACATCGGGTGTCCGGAAGTCATCAAACTCGCCCACAGGTCGTTGTTTGCCCGGTGTGACCCGCACAGCTGGCGGAAGTGATGAGAGGATGATGTCCGTCATGTTGGACCGGCTGTCGAACGCCCAGTGCCCGGCGCCCTGCAGCAACACCTGCATGCCGGGAGAATTGGAGGATGACGAGAGAAAGAGTGGAGGCGTGCATCCTTCCCTACTACCTACGAGGTTCAGCTGATCTTGCGCTGCTTGTGGCCCCTTGATGTCGGCAAATATGTCATACAGACGCTGCGCCTCTTCCCCAGACGGCAGCATCCTGTCCGCCGTGCCTGTGTGCAGACAGAAATTGCGACACGTGTGAGTGTGTGAGCAATGTGTGTGAGCGTGCGTGTGCGTACCTCCCATGAAGAGGTAAGACGGTAGTGTGGGCGAGGCGACCCCCTCTCCCCCTGTGGTCATGGTGAGTGCCTCCAGCTGTCTCTCCACCGCCCGGCTGCCCTCGTCCAGCCAACGGGTCAGCCGGAAACTCAGCCGATCCGCCGACAACTAAATAAAACGACACACACATACACAGACTTCGTCTGTCTATTCAATGTGGCACGTGAGCAGTGAGTGTGTTTGGTTCCTTACGTTAGTGGCGAATCTGTTGAGCTTGGTCCACCACTGCCCCAGGAGCTCCATTGGTCGGTCGGCTGACACGACCCGCCCACCGAAGTAGAGCATCTGAGGCCAATCGGGCACCGTGGGGACCAACGAGGCCAGCGCCGCCACGCCATACAACTGACACAGAGAGAGAGAGAGAGAGAAAGAGCGGCAGCCAAACCTCGTGTAATGCATTAGTTATCCCTTGATTAGTCCATGCATGAATGAGTGAATGTGTAAGAGCTTGTGCCTCACCCGCCCTCGTGTGGCTGCGATGATGGGCCCGATGGTCGGCCAAAAGGTCTTTCGGAACGATGTGGCGGGGTTCACGGGCACCACTGAGATGAACAGCGACACAGACAGAGAATGAGCAGAAAGCACAAAGGACACGGTGGACAAGTGCGGGCTGACCTGTTTCGTAAATGTCGGCGGCATCGGGGCGGAGAGAGAGGCCGATGCTCAATAGACCTGACACACAGACAGACAGACAGAAATGGTGTGCTTCCTCCCTCCACTCGATCCATGTATTGGCTACACCACACGCACCTCCGAAGCTCTCCCCCATGAGCGTGATAAAAGGCCTCTCAGGCACCGAGTCGCCACAGTAGATCCGTTGGATCTCCCTCAGACCGCTGCAAAACGCAGCCAGGCAGGCAAACTCAGTCAGCCACACAGACGAGATGCATGTGCATTGACCCCCACCCACTCCCTCACCGTTCGGTAAGGTAGAGTATCTGCCTGTAGGTCAGCTGGTTGTCCCACGGGATCTGCACCCGCCACACGTCGTAGTGCACACTCAGCCCGGGGTCATCAAGCTGACGAAAAGAGTAATCCCCCGTACCATCCAGCCCGGGGAGATACACCAACACGCGACGTGGACGGCCCTCCTGCCGCAGCGAGAGGCTGGCGGGATCTTTGTGTGGCCTGAATTGCACGCCGTCGATAGCAAATGCGGGCCAGCTGCCCTCGACGGGCGTCACTGGTGGGCCGCCCAGTGGCTGTAAGGGTGATGGCGATGGCCGCTGTGTGCCGGGTGCCACATAGCCGTTGGCAGTGACGGGCGGCGATTCGACATCGATGTCTTCGGCTGTTGACGGCTGCACTGAATGCACTGTGGACAGTCGGTGCTTGTGCTTGGACAGCCTGCCGACGGACGAGAGTGGTTTTCTCACAGCCGGACGAACGAATGCCGGCTGCAGATGATGATCCGCAGACGCCGTAGACAGGCATAGGGGCGCAGCAATCGCCAAAAACACACCCGAGCAGCGCCAGCGCCGCACAACCATCGGCAAAACGATGAAAACGCCTTTCCTCCGAATCCGATCAAAACACCACAGTGACAAGGATGCCATGAATCTTCAGCAGCCCTCTTTTTCTCCCCTCCAGCGTTTTTGCGGGCATTGTTTGCGAGCTTAGCCGCGGGTCGAGGGAGAAAAGAAGGCCTGTTTGTGGGGTGGTCAGCTGTTCGGGCACTCGACATTTGGTGTTGTCATCCAACGACGGCGGCTGGTTGGTGTGGTTTGTTGTCGAGGTCAGGATAGCGGGGAGTGTGTTGCGTTGGTGTGGGCTCAACCGCGTGCGAGCGTTCGTCCAAGCCGCCTGCCCAGCAGCCCTCCCATCAGCACGCATCATTTACCCAAATCCCAACTCGCCCTCACCAGAACCGGAGCAACGACAGCAGCAGGAGGGACAGGAGGAGCAGCAACAAGGCAACATGGCAAGGCCCATCGTCGTCTTTGTGCTCGGTGAGTGAGGCAACACACGCAGCAAAAAATGGAGAGGGGTGGCTTGTGACGGTCGTGTGTGTGTGTGTGTGTGTCTGTGTGTGTGTGGTCTGTGTGTGTATCAGGTGGTCCTGGTGCGGGTAAGGGCACCCAGTGCACCAAGATAGAGGAGACCTACGGCTTCTGCCACGTCAGCGCCGGCGACTGCCTACGGGAAGAGGTCAGTGAGGCACCTCTCTCTGTCAAACACAACGGACAAGCGGAGACCGACACGATCTGAAGGCTGGGCTGTGTCTGTTTATTGTGTGTTTTGGTTATAGCGCAAGACGCCTGGCTCCGAGTTCGGTGAGCTGATCGAGACCTACATCAAGGAAGGCAAAATCGTGCCGGTAGGGGAGGGAGGGGAGCCGGGGATTGGTTTGATTGTGTCCTCCATTGCATTGTGTGGTTGTGGGGGTCACTGACTCATTCAGGTCGAGATAACGGTCAAGTTGTTGGAGAAGAAGATGCGGTCGCACGGCTGGGAGGGCGGCAAATTCCTCATCGACGGATTCCCGAGGTATACCAAACACACACATAGCCAGGCTGCCAGCAAGGTGGAGAGAGTGACCAGCTGGTCCGTCCATCTCTCTTTGTGTGTGTGTGAGCAGGAATCTGAACAACTTCGAGGGTTGGTATGCCCATCTGAAGGATGCAGTCGACGACCGATACTGCCTCTTCTTCGACTGCCCGGAGGTACACACATAACCTGCCTCCATCGACACCACCGCCACGCATGTCATGATGCGCACCTGTGTGTGTGGTGTGTCTGTGTGTGTGTTTCCAGGATGTGATGGAGCAGCGTCTGGTGGAGCGAGGCAAGGACAGCGGCCGTGTGGACGACAACCTCGACTCCATCCGCAAACGGTTCAAGACTTATGTCGACGAGACCATGCCCATCATCCAGTGCTTCAACGACGCCGGCAAACTCAAAAAGGTCCGTCTTTCAGATATCTGTCCGTCGCCTGTCGGCTGCAGCATACACGTGTGTGTGTGTGTGTGTGTGTTGTGTGTCAGGTCGATGCGAACCAGGACATTTGCAAGGTGTGGGAGGAAGTTCGGTGCATCTTCGACGACATCTGCCAGCCCAAACTGCTCAACGGATGCTGCGCTCGAAGCAACTGACCGACAGGCGTGTGCACACCGCACACACGAGATCGCACTGCACGCCATGTGCTGACTGGCCGGTGGAAAATGAGTGTCGCACGGGCGCCGTATGCGAAGGCACTTTTTCACTTCTGCACGTCTTGTCTTACACGGCGGATGGATGGATGGAGCAGAGCCTTAATGAGGGCTGGCTGAGTGGGAGCGAATTAATCAGTCATCACGTGTTTGTACTCGTAGGCTGAGGGAGGGGAGGGAGGGGGTCGTGATGGCACTTTTTGTGAGTGCGCGGCTCGTTGTACGCTTGTGAGGATGACGTCTGTAGGACAGACAGTTTTGTGCATAATGCGCAAAGATCGAAGTCTTTGGTGTGGTATGTAGGGTGTCGTCGTGAGCACAAAGTACCATCTGAAACGCTGAAATATGATTTTCAGCTCTGAGACAGCAGCAGCCATTTTAGGAAGGGACCGCAGGCGGCGTGACGGCTGAGATGGATGCGAGCTCTTGAGCTTGCAGGTCGAGTTGCCCTCAAGAAGCGGCTACGAGGATAGGATAGGATAGATACACATACTAGTGTAGTGACAGGTCATTTCAGCTGTTCCTCTCGGTTTCCTTTGCCGACTCCACGGCAGCCCCTCTAGGTTTGCACCACAGTCCTCGGAAGGCATCGGCATGTCGCAAGGCACATCACTGCCGCTGCCGCTTTCCACCGTGATAGCGCTTATCGCAGCCACCGACCCAGGGCATCAGGATGGCACGGACTCGGAGGAGGCCTCTCGACGGGCGCAGCAGCTGCCGCACATAGCCTTGCCGCAGGCGGGAGCGGGGGCGGCAGAGCCACTTGAAATGGTGAGAAAAGACGTGCACGGGAAATGGGATAATTAATGCACAGGACAGGAAATGGATGGCTGGCTGGATGCGTCACACCTACATGTTGGTCGGTCTGTCTGTCTGTCTCTGTCTGTGTCTTTTATTCGTTTCGGACATCTCTCTTTCTGTCTGTGTGTCTGTGTGTGTGCAGTTTGCTGCCCAGCGCCACGTACCGTGTGGCCTGGAGAACCACGGCGCCACGTGCTACCTGAACGTGAACCTGCAAGGCCTCTTCCATCTGCCGTCATTCCGGCGGCTGGTCTACCCCACCCCCACCCTCAGTGATGTGGATTCCCTCACCGAGGAGGACATGGAGGCCAGCACAGGCGCCGCATCGATATCACACACATCAGCCACCAACCCGATGCCGCTCGGCCGCAGTGGCGCAACAGCGGGGGACGATATCGTGGTGCGCTGGCCAGACCAGCTGTCGCTCACCTCAATGACCACGGCCACCAGTGACGTGACAGACGGAGTGGGAGTGGCGGTGGGGGGGCCGGCCGGTGGTGGTTTGGGCGTGGGGTACAAGCGCCTGTCCATCACGCGTGCGCTGCAAGAGGTCTTCGGGCAGCTGCAGCGGTCCAGCAGCCCCGTCAGCACGTGGCCGCTGATGAGGGCCTTCGGTTGGACGTCGGAGCACGCCAGTGTGCAGAACGACACGCATGAGCTCGAGCTCCTGCTCTTTGACGCACTCGAGGACAAGGCCAAGCCCAAGACCGCCGGCAGCGGCACCATCCGGCTCAAGCGGGCTAGGATTGAGGGGTCGGGGGAGGGCCAAGGTGTGGTGCAGACGGACGCCGAGGAGGCGCTGAGCATCAAGGCACTCTTTGAGGGTCGGTCAGACACACACACGTGCAGTGCAGTGCAGTGCAGTGCAGTGCACAGGGAGGGGATTGATTACATGAAGGGAAGGAAGGAGGGTGGGTGCATTCATTCATTGTGTACGTCTGTCTGTCTGTCTGTCTATTTGTGTGACTGTGTCAGGTGAGATAGAGACGCTGACAGACTGCGTCGATGTGTGCTTGACCTCGCGCCGTACGGAGACCTTCCTCCACGTCCCCCTCAACGTCGAGGGCATGCAAGACCTCCACCAGTCCATCAAGAAGTACACCGAGGTACACACACACACACACACACACACATGAATACAGACATTGATTGATTGGCACTGACCTGACTGACACATGGAGGGAGGGAGGGAGGGAGGGAGGGACACATACATACATACCTTCTGTGCGCCCGCCCCTGTGGGTGTGTGTGGTGTTTGGTGTGCAGGAGGAGATACTCGATGGCGTCAACAAGTATGATGCCGGGCACCAGCACGGCAGACAGAAGGCCAAGAGACGCATACGGTGAGTGAGTGAGTGAGTAGACAGAAGGTGGTGCGGTTCTGCGCAGTGCACGCACCATCCCTCCCTCCCTCCCTCCCTCCCTCTTGTGTGTATGTATGTGACTGATTGACTGCAGTTTCCGCAAGCTCCCCGCCGTCCTACGCTTCCAGCTCAAGCGCTTCAGGGACATCATCAACGCGGTATGTATGTGTGTACCCAAACACAACAGACAGACAGACACACAGACAAAGAGACAGACACCAGCAGATAATGTTGGCCCCTCCCCCTCCCCCTCCCCCTCTCCCTCTCCATTCATCCATCCATCCATCCATCTATTCCTTATGTATCATCAGAGTGGAGCGTTCGACATGGAGAAGGTCAACGACAGGTTCGAGTACCCCGCCACCCTCGACCTCTCGTCCATCATGCCGGCGGCCGACCCCTCGCTCTCCACATACCATCTGCACGCGGTGCTGGTCCACCAGGGGGAGATCTTCAGCGGCCACTACTACGCACTCATTCGCCCCCAAGGCCCTGGGGGCCCGTGGTTCAAGTTCAACGACAGGATCGTGGTCCAGACGTCCGAGACGGCCGCAACACAGGAGCAGTATGGGGGCCGGGGACTGCTCAACATGTAAGCAAGCAGGCGGGCGGGATGAGATAGATGACTGATGGATGGATGGATGACCCGTTTGTCTGCCTGACTGATGCGATTGATGCCCGTCTGTCTGTCTCTTTGGCTGTGTGTGTGTGTGTGTGTGTGTGTAGGAACAACAGTGCGTATGTGTTGCAGTACGTGCAGGAGGCCAACCTGGCTGCCGTACTCAAGGTAGGTAGGTGAGTCGAGTCAGTCAAGGCGCTGACGACTAGTATATGCAGTACACAGACACCGACATGAATGCATTGACATGAATGCATTCATGTCGGTGTGGGTGTGGTGTGTATGTGTGTCTTCAGGAGGTGAGTCTGCCAGAGGGGCTGGAGCGGAGTTTGCGTGACGAGGCCGACCGAATCGCTGTGTGGCGTCAGCGAGCCCAACGACAGAACCAAGAGGCATGTTTGCCCGCCCACACACCACACCCACATGCATTCATGTCATGTCATGTCATGTGACGTATGTGATACATGTGTGCAGTGCAACTTGGTCAAGCTGCTGTGCGCGCAGCAGGTGCGACGTCTGATCTACGAGCACGCCGGCCCCCAGGCCATGCCCGCCATCCAAGTCAGCACATTCGCAGCCACGTGCCGGACCCTCCAAACCGGGTACGACACGTCAGACCGACACACACACACACACACCTCAGTGCACAGCGTGGGTACAGTTTGTACGTGTGTGTTGGCGCATGCAGCTTGTGTCCGCTTCACGGCAAGACGGGCCCGCATTCCCCAACTCGCGAGCTGCTGGCGCCGTACGTCACCGTCAATCCCAACCTGCCCAACTGGGTCATGCACACACTGCGAAGGTGCGGTGCGTCCATGCCAAAGGAAGGCGCGCAACACCCACCCACAGATTGCTACACTGAATGAATGTGATGTGCCGCCCTGTGTGTGTGTGTGTGTGTGTGTAGGATAGCGCCCGAGGAGATATTGACGTTGTGCGGCGGCCACCAAGAGTCGGTGCCCCCCTACGAGCTCACAGAGTTCGTCGCCTACATCGCAGTCGCCAAGCGGCTCAAGTCGATGGTCATGCCTGGTGAGCTAGCTAGCTAGCTGTGAATGTCATTCATTAATTAACGGGTGGGTCCGGTCGAGCCCTCCATAGATCTCTGGCCTGGCCTGGCCTGGCCAGAGAGAGATGCAATCTTGAATGGCTCGACTGACTGACTGATGGTCTGTCTGTCTGTCTGTCTACCCAGGTCTCGAATTGCGGTGGCTGCCCAGGGCCACGGCCTGTCGCTTCGCCGACGCCCTAGCGTCCCTTCCAGACCTCCAGATCCTCGACATCTCCTCCAGTGAGACCCATCTGACCGAGTCCTTCCTCGCTCGCCTTGGGGCCCTCCTCAGCCACAGGAGCCTCAGCAAAGAGGGCGACAACGTCAGCAGACCGAGGGCAGGCCCATCGAATGGCGACCCTAGAGAAGCCCCTAATGCGTTGTGCACACACCCATTCACCCGACTCAGGTGGGTGGCAGGGAGGGAGGGAGGGAGGGGATGGACGACTGGCGGTCTCTACATGGCGCCTCTGTGTGTGCATGTGTGTGCATATGTGTGTATGTGAGTGTGTTAGGGAGCTGAGGCTGTCTGGGGTCGATGCGCCGTATCCTGGCATTACGGCACTCATCAGGGTATGTAAGGAGTCAGTCAATGCAGTCAAGTCAATACACTCTGACGTTCGTTGACGCGTGTGTATCGATCGTATCATCCGCCTGTGTGTGTGCGTGTCTGTCTCTTCTTTCTTTCTGTCTTTCTGTCTGTCCGCCAGGGCATCAGCGGCGCGCAACTTGATGTGTTGGACCTCAGTGGGGCCCTGGTCCACTCCAGCGGCTCGGAGCACTACAGACGAGAGATAGAGGTACATGCATACGTCAGTCAGTGAGTCAGTCAGGTCTCCTCAGCTCACTCAGCCAGCTCAGAAGTGAATGCGCTGCGCGAGGCGTACGTCCTACGTATACATACAATTAATTGCTGGTTGCGTGTGGTGTTGATTCAGAAATCGTTGGAGGAGCTTCTGAGGCGTAGTCTGATCTGTGACCTGGACCTCAGCCGCAACCCGCCCCATGACATCTTCAGAGTCCTGCAGTCGGGGCTCCACCAGAACCCCAGCAGACAGTACATCCGGGACGTACGTACGGACGTACGCACGCACATAACATACATACATCATAGACACACACACTGCATGACTCACCCATCCATCCATCCATCCAACCACATAGACAGACATCACATCTATCCATCTATCTATCCATTAATTATGTTCTTCCCTCCTCGGTAACCGGTTGGTTGGTGATCGATATGTATGTATCTATGGCCCAGGCGTCTGCGACTGAATCACAACTCTGCTGGTCCTAGTGTCAAGACGGGGCGGAAGAAGGAGGAGTGCTTCATGGACTTCCTCTTCTGGGCATCCCAAAACCTCCACCTCACCAACCTGGACCTCAGAGGTAGGTACCTACCGGCACACCAAACCCACCAAACCCAAACACATGGACGGAGATTCTGTCTGTCTGTCTGTGTGCGTGCGTGCGTCGACCCACCCGACCCTCCAGGCATCGAGCTGGCTGAGTGGGGCTGCCTCGAGGACCCCCGCCTTCGCGACTCGCTGATTTCGGCCCATGAGAGGGCTCGGCAGTCGCGTGACGAGCAGGTGGCCGACGACAAAGAGCGGCGGGAGCGAACGTGGGCCCGGTGTGACGAGGAGCCCATGCCGCCATCAGCCAAGGACCAGCAGGACGCCAAGCGGCGTCAGGAGTCGCGACAGCAGAGGGGAGAGGCGGCTGCCAGGGAGGAGGAGAAAATCATGAAGACGCCACCACTGGTCATAGATCTCAGAGGTGAGTGACGGAGGGAGGGAGGGAGAGAGGGAGAGAGAGAGGAAGCCTCTGCTGCCGTATGTTCGCGGTGTGATTGTGATTGTGATTGTGATTGTGTTGGTTGGTTGGCTGGTGCAGATAACGATCTGGTCAACCACCAAGGGACGGCGGGCCCTCGGTGGCCCAAGGGGATGTACGAGTACACCGAAAAGGTCAATTTGCGCTACGGATACGCCCAGCCCTGGATCACAACTGGTGAGTGAGTGAGTGAGTGAGTGAGCCACTTGAGTCAGTCAGTGAGTGAGGGGGGGAGGGACAATCATACCCACATTAATTACACACACACACACCGCGACCCGACCCGACCCGACCCGTTTTACCCAATGCCTCTCCTCTCCTCTCCTCTCTCTGTGCTGTGCTGTGCTGTGTGTGTGTAATTCATGAATTGAATGTGTGTGCAGAGCTGGTGCGGCCCGGCCCGACGGAGCTGTTCCCCTTTCACTCGATTGGCCTGTACGACCAGCTGGAGGCCTACGCTCTCGAGGTCCCCCGTGCACTCATCGACACCTTCATGTCGACATACGACCCCATCCGCCCCCTCACATGGATCAACGAGATCATGGAGCACGCCGGCGACCTCGGCGACCTCTATCTCGACGCATACTCACACACACACCCCTGGACCAGTGGCAGCACCGACAGCCAGTGGCGGCAGGGGCAGGACGACACCCCTTGGCCCATGGACTACGGCCGGTATCGAGCCTGCCTCGACGACCTCAAGCGGCTGGCCACCAACAGCAGCCTCGACTCCATCCGTGCGGCCATCACCGAGCAGAAGATCACTGCTGCCGAGGCCGCCCTGGAGGCATTCAGCATCACCAACCAGGAAGCTTTCCGCGCTGCTGAGCGGTGGGCCAAAGCCGACCAGCTGCGGCTGGCCAACGACCACAAGCGCCGAAGAAACTCATTCGACCGCCTCAAGCGGAACACCATACGAGCGCAGGTGCGTGTAATGTGGGTGAGTGAGTGGGCGGACAAGCAACACACGTGCGCCGCGCCGACACAACACACACGTGTTTGTTGTGTGTGTTGTGTGTGTGTGTGTGTGTGTGTGGATGTCCCACTAAATCAATCCTTTGTTATAGGAGTTGCGTCGCATCCAGGGTGAGCAAGAGGCCGAGGCCGCTCTACAGCAGCAGCTACAGCAGCAGCAGCAGCTACACCAGCAGGCGGCCGAGACCATCAAGGGTGCGGTGGCGGGAGACGAGCACGTCTCACAACACGAGAGCCACGGACCCACCGCCACACACGGTATGAAGTGGGTGGGACAGATATGTGTGTATGTCTGTATGTAATGGGGACGGACGGGACATACATACATAGATACATAGATAAACAAACAAACAATGGATGGATGGGATGAGCACCTCTCTTGATCCATCTGTCTGTCTGTCTGTCTGTCGACAAGCTAATCATGTAGTCTGTCTGTGTGTGTGTGTGTGTGTGTGCGTGCGTCAGGTTTGAATACTGCCGACCACACCATGTATGTGCGCCACAATGCTGCTGTCCCTCTGCCGGTCGTCTCCCACCCCCTGCACCCCCACCCCTCATTGCCATTGCCGCCTCCTCCCATCTTCTCCCATTTCGCCCCACCCCCACCGCATCCCGCCGTGCCCCTCCTTCACTTCGAGGCCTGGACAGCTGCCGTCGTGCAGCTGCCCCCCGGCGCCGTGGTGCTGCCGGGGTGGTACTTCAACTACCACCGAGGAGAGAGGGAGCTGTGGCAAACGAGCCGGGACTTCCCTGGGGCGATGGAGGTCAGGACCGAAAGCCAGGATGCCAACATGAGGACGATGGCCGCCCTGGCGACGGCGAGGGAGAGGGTGCAAGATGCGGGCGACTGGATCGTGGACAAGGCGCAGCGGGCGGGGGAGTGGGTCGCGGGGTTCTTTGGCTGCATGCGGTGAGCTGATTGATGGTGATGGATGGATGGGATGTGTTGCGTCGTCTCGTCTCGTCTGTCTAACTCGTGCTGTGTGTGTATGTCTGTAAGGTGAGGTGTCTAGTGCATGGGTCGATTCATTCATCCTTCATCCATCTTAATTAAGACACCTAATGGCTTTCTGTCTGTCTTCATCGATCAAGCCGACTGACTCACTGAGTGACTGACTCAACCAACGGTACGTACGAACGTACCCTTTTCAACTGCATGCAGCACACGCATAGTCTGTGAGTGAGTGAGTAGTCTGTCTGTCTGTCTGTGTGTGTGTCCTCTTCGTTAGTTAATGCATATCAATCGCCAGCTAGCCAGCCAGCGACTGACTGGTATTTGTTTGTCTGCACATAACTATCACGATGTGGATAGATAGGCAGGCCAGAAAGAGAGGGAGGGAGCCAGAAAGAGAGGGAGGGAGGGAACCAGGGAGCCAGGGAGGGAACCAGGGAGCGACAGACAGGTCAGGCGATACAGGAAACAGACCAGAAACCTGACGACGACGTTTCCAAGTTATGCTGGGCAACTCCAACCAGACTCACGTCAGTGGCGGCTTCCATGCATAGGAGACTGCATCCACATTATCTCATTCCTTTGTCGTATCAGAATCCACACATTTTTCCATTCACGCGCATCCATCCATGCATCCGTCCAGGATGTGTCTTTGCACCAAGCGAAGAGGCCTATATATCTGCACACACTATATAGCCCGCCCGCTGCCGCACCCTACCCGTTCCATCAAATCAATCACTCTCTTGACCCAACGGCGCCCTGATCGATCATGGATGCAGAAGGGACAGCATATCGTCAGGTCAGCTGGCCATCGTGTGCTCACCCTCTCGGTGTTTTGTTGCAGGAGGGGACTTCGGTGCTGCCAGCCCCCGCCATTGACAGCACCCATCGGCGAATGCCCATTTAACACCAGACGTTCCGGCACTTGCATCCTGCTTGTCTGCCTCATCGGCCCACCCACCTCGCAATCTCATGCTCGAATGACCCCTCTCCCCTCCTTGCCGACACCAGCCAGCGCCTGACGCACGGCGGGCGGCAGCCGGTCATACAAATGGCCATACTCAGCCCGCACAGTGCTCGCCACAAACACCAGCAGGTCCTTCTCATCGCCCGACATGTCGCCCTTCTTCCACGTGGCGGCCGCCAGCATCTGCCGCAACAGTCCCTCCACTCGCGACACGTCCCTCCCTTGCTCGTGCGCCACTTGCTGCTCACTGCCACTCGCTGTGAAGGGCTCGGGAGCGGGCGGCAACACGTCGAGCAGCGCCACACAGCAGTAGGCCGCCGTGCATGCATCGCTGGCCTTCAGGAGTCGATGCTGCTGCCCCAGACGGGTGAGAATCGCCAACACAGAGGGGATCACATCGACACGCTCATACTCATGCTCATGCTCGGCTTGTGCGGGGTCGGGAGAGGTCAGTTGAGACAGGGTGGGCGCCACAGCCCCCAAACATGCCGCGAGGTCTCCCAGCCGTATGTCAGACGTCGCCTCGTCACCAAGTCGCTTCAGTCCCCGCCGCAATACCGCTGACCGCAAGTGCACTGACTCGTCAGACAGGGGGGCGAAGAGCAGCACTGCCTCCACGCACGTGGAGACGTCCGCCTCATCAATGCATCTAGAAGAGCACACGTGCATAGCAGTTGTGGACAGGTGGCGAAAGAAGGGTTGCTCGGTAGCCGATTGCTGCGCCTCTGCGAAGGAGGGGTGCTTCACAACGCACTGGCCGACAGTCAAGGCCGCACGGGAGAGCTCCGCCGGAGGTTGCTCCTTTGCCATCAATCTCGCTGAGACGCTCTCCGCCGCCGCAATCAACACGTGCTCGGACAGCGAGCCGAGGGCCATGAGAGGGGGCAGCAAGCGGCACAATATCGGCAGATCCGCGACGATTCTCGACAGCTGGACATCGACACACGCCACCACGGCCGCCACCAGGCCCTCCAGCAACGACCCCTCCCCCCTCCCCCCGGCGCCCTCTCTGCCTCTCCGTCGGATGTAGGCCATGACTGGCCGCACCTTGTCGAGGCTCTCCAGCAGGTCGGCCAGCGACCCCGCACTCACTTCTGACGCTCCCTCTCCCTCTGCACCCAGCCGGTCTCGGATGGTCCGCGCCGTCTTGACGATGAGCCGCGCGTCCTGCGTGTCGCCCTCACTGGCCGCCTTCATGACGCCACACAGGTCGTTGACGTGACACACCTCTAGCCGGGGCACGAGGGCGTCAGTGATCTCGTCCAGGATGCCCCCCACCGGCCCCTTGGACCCCAGCCGCGCGGACTGATAGAGCTCGGCGTAGCGCATGAAGAACGACACCACACGAATCGCCGCATCATCGGAAAGGTGGACTTTAAGGATGCTTGTGAGCATGTCAGACGCCATCGGCTCCGTCACCGGGCCGCTCTCGCCACTGGCCACGACCAGGCCGTGTGTCTCGGTCGAAGCAGACTTGATAGCGATCTCCGTCAGGTGCTGGTATAGGTCGCCCGCCCAGAGCTTCGAAGGGTCGCTCGTTGGCTTGGGGTGCCCGTGTGAGTCCACCAGTGTCTTGAGAGCAGCCGGGATCTCTGGATGCAGCGCGACTATGTCGAAAGGCGGCGTCAGCGGGACCACACCGACGCGATGAAACAGCTCCGCAAAAGCCCAGAAGCTCTCCAGGCTCAGCTCACGGCTTCGCTCCAGAAGGTCGCGGCCGATGCTCTTCAGTGCGGTGCCGAAGCATGCCTTCAGAGCAGGCGACAACACCACCTTCCCAGCGCCGTCAGCAAGAGGCTTGAAGGAGCCGTGATGAATGATCGCGTGGCTGATGGCCGCCGTAAGCTGCCAGAGTATCGGCAGGGTCAGGCCGGGCAGCTGGTGCGGCACCACGTTGTGCACTAAAGTGATGTACGTCTCCTCGTGCGCCATCCTAAGAGAGCTCATGGCCGCAAGCACCCGCACCGACGGCATCGGCACTCCTCCGCCCCTCTTGCCGCCTCTCTTGTCGCCGCCTTGCCCCTCCAGCAGGATGTTGGCCCTCTCAGCAATGGCGGCGAACCACGATGTAGCCTCCACACACTCGAGCTCACCAAGCGCATAACTGACGGTTCCGAGCAGCTGAGGCGTGAAATGTGACAGCACCGCGGTCGCCTGGTCGGTCAGTCGGGTCAAGACAGATGAGGGGGGCGTCCACTTGGGGCCGGCCAGCTGGGTGATGGCCAAGAGGATGTTGGCCAGGTGAAGAGGCTCGAAGGGCGGCGACGGTGAGGCACCATCATCACCACCAACACCACCAGGAGCTCCCCTGCTGATGAGGGTGACGCACAGCTGGTCGAGCAGGTCGGTGCGGTCGACGGCTCGCAGCTTGCTCAGAGTGAGAAAGAGGTTGGACACTTGCTGGGCTGTCAGCCGCGAGGGATCCCGCGACACAATGATGTCCATCAGCCGGTCAGTGACGGAATCCCGGGTGCCGCCGCGACCTGAACAGCACACAGAAACGCACTGACGACACATTGCCGAGTGCTTCGTGTGTACCAAGAGCATGGAGTGATCCGACCAACCCCGCTCCGCCCAGCTGGTCGGGCACACTGGGGTCCTCCAACATTCGCTCCAGCGTCCCCGAGAGGACAGATAGCAGCCCGGCATCGCCTTGCTCGAGACGCGTGTACGCACACAGCAAGAGGAACACCGACTGTGGGTAGCCCCCCATGCCCCACATGCCGTCCTCGCCCCCCTCCTCCCTCCCCTTTTCCCTATCGCGCAGCTTCTGCATGACGACCGGCACGCAGGCGTCGCAGCACTTGCGCACGTCTGTCGGGGACGCGCCCATCACGCGTGTCAGGCCATGCAGCGCCGCGGCCAGCTGCGCCAGGGTGAAACGGCTCGCGTGGGCCTCCACGGCCCTGGAAAGGGCAGCCGCAGATGGCCGGTCCGTCACGTTTGCCCGCCCCAGGGCGTGAGCAGTGGCCGCCAGCTCGAGGGGCCGCGAGAGCTGCTTCGTGGCGATCAGGTGGGGAACCAGTCGGGACAGTGAGTCAAACACCAGGGGATCGTTGAGGTCCAGCTGGGCAAAGGCATGAAGCACATTGGCAATGTGCTGCGCGGAGAACACCGATGCCGAGTCGGCCGAGGGGTCGCGCTGAGTGGCTGTCGACGGCAGCTGGCTGATCATGCGTTGTGCGATGGCAACCACCCGGCTGGCAAGGGAGCGAAAGAGAGCCGTGTCCCTCAGGTCAAGCCGACAGTACCCATTGGCCACGTTGGCCACGCCCTGGGGGGACAGCTCACTCGCTCTAGTGGCAATATGCCGACCCAGGAAGGACATCAGAGCAAGATCACGGCACTGACACCGAGCATACGCGTTGACAACCAGCGCCAGGTGCTGCTCCGACCACTGCGATAAGTCGCCCCTGGTCCGCACGGACTCACTCGCCGCCTTCAAGAGCCCCAGGTGGCACAGTTGCAGCCTGGCAAAGCCGTTCAGAAGCAGGGCGATGTCACGCGGCTTGCACTGATCGATGACCTCCACTGCCCGGCCAGCCATGCGTTCGAACAGGTCAGAGGGAATCGATGGGCCTCGCCGGGCATAGCCATTGGCGATGAATGCGAGATGCCGCGGCTCGAGGGTGCTGCAGAGAAAGAGGGCCCGGTGCGTCAGATCCTCCCATAGATGCGGGTCGGTGACTTGCCGCTGAGAGGCCACACGAATAGCATTGGAGAGCTGCTCTGGCGTCATGACGTTGGGATGATTGGGGAGGTCCAGGCCGCTCTGCTGCCGCTTCGCACGCTTGGTGGCCATGAAGCCGAAACGACGATGGCATACAGGGGGCAGGGAACATGACGAGGGCGCGGGAGGGCGCAGTCTCGTGACGGCTTCCATGCGTGTCACCTCTTGTCTGTTTCCTCCCTTCCCTCACTGCAAATCAACCTTTGGCAGATCTCCACAAACGCACTGCGAGCTTGGAGAGAGAGTCCCTCTTTCTAGTTAGTTTTTTCGTTTGTGAGGGTGCGGCTGATGCAGGGATGAACAGGGAAAACAGGAAAAGCACCACACACCATGTAGTCTACACAGCTATCGCGCTGGCTCTCGCGCTGCCAGCTGACGCGGGGTGAGAGGAGATGAAGAAAGAAGATCACCACACGCACCAGCTGAGCTGAGCGGGGGAGGAGCGAGCGGGTCGAGATCCAATGGGAAGAAGCCTGCTTTGGCTGTGTGTCCGTTGTGTTCGCTCAGGTACATGGTGGTCAAGAGCCCGGCCTTCATCAGCGAGGGCCGAATTCCCGACAGATACACATGCTACGGCCTCAACCAGACGCTGCCGCTGCATTGGTTCCAGTACCCCGACGGTAGAGAGGCCGCAGACAGACAGATCTGAGGCCGCACTGTCTGTTTGTGTATCATCAGGCACCGAATCACTTGTCCTCATTATGAGGGTAACATAACGACCACACCAAAGTCACAGATCAATCGCAGCCGCACACAGATGTCGTGTGTGCGATGGATGGATGGATGGATGTGCAGGATTTGGATGCCCCGTGGGGCGAGGGTCAGTCGGGCAACCACCTATTTTACCACTGGCTGGTCTGGAACATACCGCCAACACTAGAGAGAATACCCCCCATCAGGTCAGTCACACACACACACACAGCCAGGCAGGCAGGCAGGCAGGCAGAGAAGCGGGGAGAGGTAAATGGCTCGTTGTGTGTGTGCTGTGTGATCAGGCCTGAGGGCGATGCGAGCATGGTGGGAGATGAGCCTTTCGATCAAGGCACCAACGACTTTTTTAAGTTCGGGAAGGATGCATACGGCTACGGTGAGAAACAGACGACGGGGAATGAACGGCATGCGCAAGCACCATCTGCCCCCTTTCTGTCTTTGTCCTGGTGTGTGACACTCATCTGTCTGTCAGGCGGACCATGCCCACCTCATGGCGTCCACAGGTGAGAACACACATACACACACTCTCGTCAGGAGGAGAGTGTGCTCCTGAAAGTGTGGGTGGTGTGGCTGGGTGTGTTGGTGTGATTGTAGGTATGAGATCAAGCTGTATGCGTTGGACGAGCGTCGGCTGACCGGTCTCCGTCGGGGTTCCAACTCGACCGAGGTCATCGACGCCATACGAATCGCACAGGAACACGGCCATGTTCTCGGTGAGCAGAGTGAGTACACCGACACACCGCCACACACTCACAGCGGATATGCACTTTGTCGTCGTGTGTGTCAGAGGTGGCCGTGATGATCGGTCGCGTGCCCGCGGCCGACCCGAAGCGATACGCCCGCACCAATGGCCACGGCCAACCCACGTTCATATGATTGACTGATTGATGTGCTGGCGGGTAGATCGAGTCAGTCGGTCGAGTCTGAGAGTGAGTGCACCTAGTGAGTGAGTGAGCCGTATTACCCTCCTGCCCCCACCCTCCACTCCCTCTGCGTGAAAAATGAGCAGACGGACAGACAGCGATCTATACATACAGGGAGACAGAGAACATATGTGATGCTATGTGAGGTGATGTGATGAGCGTGATATTTGGTAGTGAGTGAGTGATTGTGAGATCGGACCCCCCATACGCCCCCCCACCCATCCCTAAATGTCTGCCCGCCTGACTCCGTGCTGCTGTACGTGTGTGTGTCTATCTACCTATCTATCTATCTATCGTACGTATGTAGTGGTGTTTTTCTGGTGCCGTGCATGCGGCGAGCTGGTGCGTCCATGCGGGCGAATGAGTTGGATTGGTCTGGTGCATTGGGATTGGGTGGCGGGGTCGGGTCGGTGGGCGGATCGATGGGATGGATGGATGTGTGGATGAGTATGATGAATCGATGGATGGTCTTTTTTTCCTCTCGATTTAGATGCATTCATGCACGCGCTGCAATGCATACATCACATTGAGGGACCGACTCGACTCTATCAGACCGATATCGACAGATACTGACAGGTCTAAAGGGAAGGTCAAGTAAACTCGCTGCATCGATGCACTAAGGTCCACTTACCAAAATGGAAGGCTAAACAGGGCGCACATCTGGCTTTCTCTGGCACAGGGACCACAGACAGGTAAACGGGCACCTGACAGGCAAAGCAAAGGACATGAATAATGCAGCTGGTTGGATGGCGTATTCCCTCCAGAGGAGACACACTGATTGGATGCCCCCTCTCTGAGAGAGACAGACAAGACACGCAATGAATCAAAACTAAACCAACGACAGACTCATGCAAGAGGCGAGTTGGCTACTGATATTCCGTCTATCAACACCCACCAGACTTGAAACCACTCGTCACCCAACACATGAACTTCGATAAGCCAAATTTACGCGGCTTCCTGCGATTGTCTTTTGGAATTGTGCCACCTGCTATCTTTTCTTTGCGAGTCGCAGCCGACGGAATAGTGACATCTTCAGGACGAGGGGCACACAGATCGTACACTTCGATACCAAAGATTTCTGCAGCAGAAAGAAGGAAACAACCATAATACACGGCCGCCCTCTTACTCGTTCTGTCGTCACCTTCGGATCCAGTGCCATTCTGCGACGCCTCGCGGAGACCCTCCAGCTCCTCCTTGAAGCACGGCTCGAAACAGTGCAGAGGGAATTCACGACCCTCAGGGAAGCACGGCCCATGCGATTGACAAGAGCTAGACCGCTCCCAGCCCCACAACAGGGACAAATCCTTCCGGCAAGTGCCAAGCTTGCAGTCGAGCGATCCACAGTCCACATCAGCCGGCTGCACCACCTGTGTGCCGCTCAACATGTTCTGCCCACTCTCGCCTCGCA